GGTCCAAAAAGGTGCTATTGGGGGTCCACAAAGGTAGTACTGAGGGTCCACAAAGGTAGTACTGGGGGTCCACAGAGGTAGTACTAGGCGTCCACAAAGGTAATACTGGGGGTCCATAAAGGTAGGGCTTGGTGCCCACAAAGGTAGATCTAGGGGTCCAGAATGGTAGCACTGGGGGGCCACAAAGGTAATACTGGTGGTTCACAAAGGTAGTACTGAGGGTCCACAAAGGTAGCACTTGGGGTCAACAAAGGTAGCACTGGGGGTCCACAAAGGTAGTGTTTGCAGTCCATAAAGGTAGCACTTGGGATCCACAAAGGTAGCACTTGGGGTCCACAAAGGTAGTATTGGGGTCCACAAAAGTAGTACTGGGGGTCCACAAAGGTAGTACGGGGGCCCGCAAAGGTAGTACTGGGGTCCACAAAGGTAGTACTGGGGGTCCACAAAGTTAATACTGGGGGTCCACAAAGATAGCACTGAGGGTCAACAAAGGTAGGACTGGGGTCCAGAAAGGTAATACTGGGGGTCCACAAAGGTAGTACTGGGGGTCCACAAAGGTAATACTGGGGTCCACAAAGGTAGTACTGGGGGCCCACAAAGGTAGTACTGATGGTCCACAAAGGTAGAACTGGGGGTCCACAAAGGTAGTACGGGGGTCCACAAAGGTAGAACTGGGGGTCGAGAAAGGTAGTATGGGGGTCCACAAAGGTAGTAATGGGGGTCCACAAAGGAAGTACTGGGGGTCCACAAAGGTAGTACTGGGGGTCCACAAAGGTAGTACTGGGGGCCAAGAAAGGTAGTACTGGGGGTCCACAAAGGTAGTACAGAGGGTCCACAAAGGTAGCACTTAGGGTCCACAAAGGTAGCACTTGGGGTCCACAAAATTAAGCACTTGGGGTCCACAAAGGTAGCACTTGGAGTCCACAAAGGTAGCACTTGGGGTCCACAAAGGTAGTGCTGGAGGTCAACAAAGGTAGTACTGGGGGTCCTCAAAGGCAGCACTTGGGGTCCACAAAGGTAGCACTTGGGGTCCACAATTGTAGCACTTGGGGTCCACAAAGGTATCACTTGGGGTCCACAAAGGTAGCACTGGGGGTCCACAAAGGTAGCACTGTGGGTCCACAAAGGTAGTACTGGAGGTCAACAAAGGTAGTACTGGGGGTCCACAAAGGTAGTACTTGGGGTCCACAAAGGTAGCACTTGGGGTCCACAAAGGTAGCACTTGGGGGTCCACAAAGGTAGCACTTGGGGTCCACAAATGTAGCACTTGGGGTCCACAAAGGTAGCACTTGGGGTCCACAAAGGTAGTACTGGGGGTCCACAAAGGTAGCACTGAGGGTCAACAAAGGTAGGACTGGGGTCCAGAAAGGTAATACTGGGGGTCCACAAAGGTAGTACTGGGGGTCCACAAAGGTAATACTGGGGGTCCACAAAGGTAGTACTGGGGGCCCACAAAGGTAGTACTGATGGTCCACAAAAGTAGAATTGGGGGTCCACAAAGGTAGTACGGGGGTCCACAAAGGTAAGACTGGGGGTCGAGAAAGGTAGTACTGGGGGTCCACAAAGGTAGTAATGGGGGTCCACAAAGGAAGTACTGGGGGTCCACAAAGGTAGTACTGGGGGTCCACAAAGGTAGTATTGGGGGCCAAGAAAGGTAGTACTTGGGGTCCACAAAGGTAGTACAGAGGGTCCACAAAGGTAGCACTTGGGGTCCACAAAGGTAGCACTTGGGGTCCACAAAGTTAGCACTTGGGGTCCACAAAGGTAGCACTTGGAGTCCACAAAAGTAGAACTGGGGGTCAACAAAGGTAGCACTTGGGGTCCACAAAGGTAGCACTTGGGGTCCACAATTGTAGCACTTGGGGTCCACAAAGGTATCACTTGGGGTCCACAAAGATAGCACTTGGGGTCCACAAAGGTAGCACTGGGGGTCCACAAAGGTAGTACTGGAGGTCAACAAAGGTAGTACTGGGGGTCCACAAAGGTAGTACTTGGGGTCCACAAAGGTAGCACTTGAGGTCCACAAAGGTAGCACTTGGGGTCCACAAAGGTAGCACTTGGGATCCACAAATGTAGCACTTGGGGTCCACAAAGGTAGCACTTGGGGTCCACAAAGGTAGCACTGGGGATCCACAAAGGTAGTGCTGGAGGTCAACAAAGGTAGTTCTGGGGGTCCACAAAGGTTGCACCTGGGGTCCACAAAGGTAGCACTTGGGGTCCACAAAGGTAGCACCTGGTGTCCACAAAGGTAGCACTTGGGGTCCACAAAGGTAGCACTGTGGGTTCACAAAGGTAGTACTGGAGGTCAACAAAGGTAGTACTGGGGATCCACAAAGGTAGTACCTGGGGCCCACAAAGGTAGCACTTGGTGTCCACAAAGGTAGCACTTGGGGTCCACAAAGGTAGCACTTGAGGTCCACAAAGGTAGCACTGGGGGTCCACAAAGGTAGCACCGGAGGTCAACAAAGGTAGCACTGGGGGTCTACAAAGGTAGCACTTGGGGTCCACAAAGGTAGCACTTGGTTTCCACAAAGGTAGCACTTGGGGTCCACATAGGTAGCACTTGGGGTCCACAAAGTTAGTACTGGAGGTCCACAAAGGCAGTACTGAGAGTCCACAAAGGTAGTACTGGAGGTCCACAAAGGTGGTACTGGGGGTGCACAAAGGTTGCACTGGGGGTCCACAAAGTTAGTACTGGGGGTCCACAATAGTAGCACTTGGGGATCACAAAGGTAGCACTGGGGGTCCACAAAGGTAGCACTGGGGGTCCACAAAGTTAGTACTGGAGGTCCACAAAGGCAGTACTGAGGGTCCACAAAGGTAGTACTGGAGGTCCACAAAGGTAGTACTGGAGGTCCACAAAGGTAGCACTGGGGGTCCACAAAGATAGCACTGGGGGTCCACAAACGTAGCACTGGGGTCCACAAAGGTAGCACTTGGGGTCCACAAAGGTAGTACTGGAGGTCCACAAAGGCAGTACTGACGGTCTACAAAGGTAGTACTGGAGGTCCACAAAGGCAGTACTGACGGTCTACAAAGGTAGTACTGGAGGTCCACAAAGGTGGTACTGGGGGTCCACAAAGGTTGCAATGGGGGTCCACAAAGTTAGTACTGGGGGTCCACAAATGTAGCACTTGGGGATCACAAAGGTAGCACTGGGGGTCCACAAAGGTAGCACTGGGGGTCCACAAAGTTAGTACTGGAGGTCCACAAAGGCAGTACTGAGGGTCCACAAAGGTAGTACTGGAGGTCCACAAAGGTAGTACTGGAGGTCCAGAAAGGTAGCACTGGAGGTCCACAAAGGTAGCACTGGGGGTGCACAAACGTAGCAATGGGGTCCACAAAGTTAGTACTGGAGGTCAACAAAGGTAGCACTAGAAGGTCCGTGGTCTAAGTTGAAAACATAAGGAGGCTGCATTATAAAATGTATAAATACTGACGGTGAGGCCGATAAATATAAACTTTCAGTTAGGTCAACTGAGAGAAGAAAGTAAGAAAACGAGTTTTTTGTTAGTTAATAAAATCGGCTTGTTGACAAGACAGACCTTTCAAAAGCCTGATGTCCGAGGGAAAGTTCATTGAAATAAAAAGCATCCTTGATGGTAGCAATGTTGGCAAGCAGTGACCCAGACTCTTCCTCCTGAGACTACCAGTTTCAACCTTGATCCGGCAGGTCATGACACCCTCCTCTCTCCCCCAGAATGATCAACCACTTCCCCAACCTTGATCCAGGAGGTCATGACACCCTCCTCTGTCCCCCAGAATGATCAACCACTTCCCCAACCTTGATCCAGCAGGGCATGACACCCTCCTCTCTCCACCAGAATGATGAACCACTTCCCCAACCTTGATCCGGCAGGGAATGATACTCTCCTCTCTCCCCAAGGATGATCAACCATTTCCCAACCTTGATCCAGCAGGTCATGACATCCTCCTCTCTCCCCCAGAATGATCAACCACTTCCCCAACCTTGATCCAGCAGGGCATGATACCCTCCTCTCTCCCCCAGAATGATCAACCACTTCCCAACCTTGATCCAGCAGGGCATGATACCCTCCTCTCTCCCCCAGAATGATCAACCACTTCCCAACCTTGATCCAGCAGGGCATGACACTCTCCTCTCTCCCCCAGAATGATCAACCACTTCCCAACCTTGATCATGCAGGGCATGATACCCTCCCCTCTCCCCCAGAATGATCAACCATTTCCCAACCTTGATCCAGCAGGGCATGATACCCTCTTCTATCCCCCAGAATGATCAACCACTTCCCAACCTTGATCCAGCAGGTCATGACACCCTCCTCTCTTCCCCAGGATGATCAACCACTTCCCCAACCTTGATCCAGCAGGGCATGACACCCTCCTCCATCCCCCAGGATGATCAACCACTTTCCCAACCTTGATCCAGCAGGGCATGACACCCTCCTCTCTCCCCCAGGATGATCAACCATTTCCCCAACCTTGATCCAGCAGGGCATGACACCCTCCTCTCTCCCCCAGGATAATCAACCACTTCCCCAACCTTGATCCAGCATGGCATGACACCCTCCTCTCTCTCCCCCAGGATGATCAACCACTTCCCCAACCTTGATCCAGCAGGGCATGACACCCTCCTCTCTCCCCCAGGATGATCAACCACTTCCCCAACCTTGATCCAGCAGGGCATGACACCCTCCTCTCTCCCCCAGGATGATCAACCACTTCCGCAACCTTGATCCTGCAGGGCATGACGCCCTCCTCTCTCCCCCAGGATGATCAACCACTTCTCCAACCTTGATCCAGCAGGGCATGACACCCTCCTTTCTCCCCCAGGATGATCAACCACTTCCCCAACCTTGATCCAGCAGGGCATGACACCCTCCTCTCTCCCCCAGGATGATCAACCACTTCCCCAACCTTGATCCAGCAGGGCATGACACCCTCCTCTTCTCCCCCAGGATGATCAACCACTTCCCCAACCTTGATCCAGCAGGGCATGACACCCTCCTCTCTCCCCCAGGATGATCAACCACTTCCCTACGCATTACGAGCTAACCAGGAAGGACCTCTTAGTGAAGAACATCAAGCGTTACCGCAGAGAACTGGAGAGGGAGGGCTCACAGCTGGCTGCCAGGGACGCTACAGGTATAGTTACCAACTGGCTGCCAGGGACGCTACAGGCATATTTACCAGCTGGCTGCCAGGGACGCTACAGGTATAGCTACCAGGTGGTTGCCGGTGACGCTACAGGTATAGTTTCCAGCTGGCTGCCAGGAACGCTACAGGTATAGTTACCAGCTGGCTGCCAATGACGCTACAGGTATAATTACCAGCTGGCTTCCAGGGATGTTACAGGTAAAGTTACCAGCTGGCTGCCATGGACTCTACAGGTATAGTTACCAGCTGGCTGCCAGGGACGCTCCAGGTATATTTACCAGCTGGCTGCCAGGGATGCTACAGGTATAGCTACCAGCTGGTTGCCAGGGACGCTACAGGTATAGTTTCCAGCTGGCTGCCAGGGACGCTACAGGTATAGTTTCCAGCTGGCCGCCAGGGACGGTACAGGTATAGTTTCCAGCTGGCTGCCGGGGACGCTACAAGTAAAGTTTCCAGCTGGCTTTCAGGGACAGTATGTTATTCATTATTCCTCTGTTTATTAAGGTGCCTACCACTTCTCTTTACTAAGGGACCCACCACAGGAGGCACTGATTTTCTCCGACGTAAAGTTAATCAGGACCTTAATCTTCCACTACCTCCCGGAGATTTTGTTGACCAGGCTGAGCTCTACATTAACTTCAGTTAATGCATTAACTTCAATTATTTCTTTCAACAACAGGGTCTCCCATCAGTGCCGAATTAGCAAACTTTTCATGGAACACCTAAATACAACTCTTCGTCTGTATCATTCCCACCAACCTCACATGGTGACGTTATGTGGTATCACATTTGACGAATGTGGAAGTCGGTCGTGCCCAAGGGTTAGGCAAGATGAAGAATTCCCTGTATTTTAAGATCCCAAGATGTTACTGTGTTAAACAGGACTGTAGATGAATGGTTCAAAGAACCGACAGGTTGATAAATTATCAAATGTGATATCACCTACGACTGTTGCACCTTTCCTGCCTACAGTATATAAGCCAATTCTTCGCACATATACTGTATTCTTTTCAAGACTGATGGCCTGATCACATCGACTCAAGGCTGAGGGAGTGATTACCTCAAACTCCTGTTCTTCACTATTCTCCTTTGTAAGACACCCTATTGTTGTACATGTGTCTAATTTATCAAAGTGCAGCATACTCAAGGTGTGAGCATATCTGTGCCTCGTACAGATCTTGCAGCCTCTACTATCGAGCAGATTCGAGATACGTCGAGTGTCGTAAACTTCCTGGCCGCCTTGTTTGCAAGCTTTACAATGTGGTTCTTCATGGTTAGTTTGGAGTCAAATTTCACCCCGGGTAGCAACACTCTCCCATTCATACTTACTACTGCTCTGGCATTACCATCATGGTGCCTAGATACCATCATCATTTGTGTTTTCTCAAGAGCAAATGCCATCGGTTTCCCCTGACTGATATAAGTCTTAGCTGGTGATTGATGTAGCTTAGAGCAACTGGCATTTCCTCTCTTGGATCAGTAAATGTCAGAGGTCAGTCATCTGCATATGAATGGGATTCTGGAATGAGATGAAGGTCACTGAAGTAGACATCCGTAACAATGGCTCAAGCACGCTTCCCTGTGGAAAACTTACACAATACGTTGTGTTGCTGACTCTGTCCCATTGAGAACTACACTTTGAGATCTACCTTGAAGGTAATCACTGAGGAGACACTGTTTAGAGCCTGTATTTCCCAGTGCTTGCAGTCTTGCCAAGAGTCCCTGGTACCATACTCGGTCAAACGCACCAGCAATGTCCAGTCCTGCTACACAACTGACTTTGTATTCATCGAGTGACTGGTGCCACATAACGGAAAGCTTTAACAACAAATGAGCAGCAGAGTAACGTTTTCTGAAGCCATATTGACGGTCACAAAGAAGCGTATGGGATTATTGTCTCAAGGATCCTGTCAATCACTGGTTTACCAGTGAATCACTGGTTTACCAGTGAATCACTGGTTTACCAGTGATTGACAAGAGTGACACTGGTCTATAGTTCCTGATTTCTGCTCTTTTCTTCTTTTTGTGAACAGGGACTGCACATTCCTCTTTCCACAGAAAAGGTCATTTATACTGTGCCAGGCAGTGCTGAGAGATGCGAGTTAGAGGTGCTGCCAGCTGGTCTGCACATCTACTCAGCAATCTTGGACTCAACTTGTCTGGGCCCACAACCTTTTCTTGGTCCAGCGATTTAAGATGATACACCTCCTCCTGCCTTATTGTCACCACTGACAGCTTTGACACAGTTTTTGCAGCTAGCCTAGGAGGGTCCCTTACTGGCTCAGGAACTTGCATTTTGGCAGCAAAGTGTTCGGCAAAGAGGTCAGCTTTCTCCTGATTACTATTAGAGGTAGTCCCATCCTGTCGATTTAGAGGCGGAATAAGTTCATCAGGCAGATAACCTTGTCTTTCCTTAATCAAGGACCACGAGGTTTTGGAGCCCACCCTACCTGATGCCAGCGTTCTTTTTGTATCCGCCTCCCATATAGAGATGGCCCACTTTTGAACTTCACCCTTATGCCTACAGGCTTGCCTGTGCAGGTTCCTGTTACAGGTAATGGTATGTCTCTTGTACCTTCTCCAAGCCTTGTACATAGCAGAAGCAGCTTCTCCACATCGAAAGCCGAACCATACATACTGAAGGTGAGAGATGTGTTCCTGCTGTAGATTAAGGATGTGTCCAGTGAAGGCATTCAGTTGGTTGTCAACATCACCCTGGAGAAGAGTGTTCCAATCGGAAGTGGCGAACTCAGAGCAAAGGGCTGGCTAGTTTCTTCTTTCCCACAGCCAGATTGTACATGTGGATTCCTCACCTCGTTCTCTTAGACTCTTCAGTGTCGTAAAAACAGCCTTGTGGTCAGATGATCCAACATAGCCGAGGGGCTGACAAGTGACTATGCATTCTGACAGATCACTCACTACTCTCCCGCTGTTCTGTCCAGAGGTCATAGATGAGACGAGACGAAGGCAGTCCAGAAAAGTAGAACATACTCAAGGTGTGAACGCACTTGTCTCTCATAGAATTCTGTAGCATCTACTGTTGATCAGGTGTTAGATACGACTTAGCTGTGTTAACTTCTTAGCTGTTGTGGTTGAATAAAGTGGTTGAAGAATATATTTAAAGTTTCTTATTTCAGTATTCTCTCTGGTGAACACCAGTCATAGTAATAAACGTAAATATTTAGAGTGAACGAGAAGGAAGAGCTCTTTCTCTTTCTTTTTCATTCAATAGTTACGATGGATGACATCAGACAACCTGAAGGGTTGTAGATCAATGGTTCAGAGAACCGACACGTTGATATATTAGACACATGTGCAACTCTTGGGTATCTTTATTGAGGAAACGTTTCGCCACACAGTGGCTTCATCAGTCCATACACGACCTACTTCCACATTGAACAAATGTGACACCTCCTATATATATTATATATATATATATATATATATATATATATATATATATATATATATATATATATATATATATATATATATATATATATATATATATATATATAGTGTTGAAATAGTGAAAAATTAGAGCCATTAATATGAGGATATCTAGTGATTACTTGAGACTTAATGTTTTAAAACTACAGTGCATTTTCTAATGTGTATTAATCTTAAATATTTGTATTAATAGCATTCTGTGTTAATACTTAAAGAAAATATTTTAATTTTAAAGACGAATGATTAATTAAGACAAATATTTATGTTCGGAGTTAATAATATTAAAATTAAAGAAACTGTATAAAAATTCTAGAAAACATTGGATTTAAGACGTAATCGGTTACATCAAGAAGGTATTCTTACAAGTTTCCACCCAGGAAGATATTAACTAACATTTCCACCCACTACGATGGTATTAACAAACATTTCCACCCCGCAGGATGGTATTAACTAACATTTCCACCCACTAAGATGATATTAACTAACATTTCCACCCACTTGGATGGTATTAACTAACATTTCCACCCATTAGGTTGATGTTAAATAATATTTCCACCCACTAGGATGGTATTAACTAACATTTCCACTCACTAGGATGGCATTAACTAATATTTCCACTCGCTAGGATGGCATTAACTAATATTTCCACCCACTAGGATGGTATTAACTAATATTTCCAACCACTAGAATGGTTTTACTAACATTTCCACCTACCAGGATGGTATTAACTAATATTTCCACCCACTAAGATGGTATTAACTAATATTTCCACCCACCAAGATGGTATTAACTAACATTTCCACCCACCAGGATGGTATTAACTAATATTTACACCCACTAGGATGGTATTAACTAACATTTCCACCCACTAGGATGGTATTAACTAATATTTACACCCACTAGGATGGTATTAACTAACATTTCCACCCACCAGGATGGCATTAACTAATATTTCCACCCACTAGGATGGTATTAACTAACATTTCCACCCACTAAGATGGTATTAACTAACTTTTCCACCCACTAGGATGGTATTAACTAGCATTTCCACCCACTAGGATGGTATTAACTAATATTTCCACTCACTAGGATAGTATTAACTAACATCTCCACCAGCCAGGATGGCATTAACTAATATTTCCAACCACTAGAATGGTTTTACTAACATTTTCACCCACCAGGATGGCATTAACTAATATTTCCACCCACTAGGATGGTATTAACTAGCATTTCCACCCACCAGGATGGTATTAACTAACATTTTCACTCACTAGGATGGTATTAACTAACATTTCCACCTACTAGAATGGTATTAACTAATATTTCCACCCACTAGGATGGTATTAACCAACATTTTTGCCCATTAGGCTGCTATTAACATTTCCACTCATTAGGTTGCTACACTTACATGTTTCCACACACCAGGACTGTATAAACTAATATTTTCCACCCACCAAGACGGTACAAGGTAACGTTTCCACCTGTGGAGATTTTGTATAAGTCTGAAGACCACACTTATGACTTTGGAAGAATGTTAG